TTTTCTTTTAGTGATAAAAAGGCAATATTTTTAGCAGTAGAAAAATATGGTATTGTCATTTCAAAACTAACAGAAAAAGAATTCTCAGCGGTCACAATTTTTTTCCTTCTGTTTAAGGAATCTCACGGACCATCATAAGCAAATAAATTTCCGTTAAAGAAAAAGCTGTCCTCTTTCATGATCAGTTGATTTATTACCTTTCAACATTTTCACAAAAGGCCCCAAACCATCAAACAGTGTATGGCTAAATTGCAAATAGTAGTGTTTTTACAATCTGTCGCAATATTTAAGCTAGTATAGGTATATTTTAAAAAAAAAAATCATAGATCTCATAAAGCTGACCGTAACAGTTTGTCGATATTTCACGCGCTCTTAAACGAATTCGTACTATTTCGCAATTAATTTAGACTTTTAGTACAAGGCTTATTATTTTACTTCAATGACTAACTGTTTCCGAAATTAATGATCATTAGCGTCAATAATAATATTTGTGTTTATATTAAATGAATTAGTACCATTTTCCCATTGAATTTCATTTTCAGCACAAATTTTTTTTAATTTTAATTACCGTTGTTTTTTAAATTATTTACTTTTGTAACACGTTTTAAAAGCATAGCTATACACAAAATAAACACGTGGTTACAGGTAACCAATGAAATACTAATATGGTCACGTAGACCGCTTATGCTACAACGGTCACGTTGATCGTACAAATAACCTGGCGTAACTAATAAATAATATAAATTATTTTTGTTTTTTGGCTCAAAACAGTTTTTTCTTTGAAAATTGAAATGATTCTTTTAACTTGTATGTATTTTATTTTATTTTATATTATATTTTACATTATATAATCGTCGTTGAACAGCCAACCTAATTTTCGGGTTTACGACTACTTAACTCATTTTAAACTCAATTCAGAAGACAAGAAAACTCCTGGATGAATACCCCCAGAGGTATGATTTGTTATGGGAACATGGGGGACTTTATAACTCAACAGATTTAACGTGCATCAGTTACTACACGGGGAGTCTACGGCAGGCGGGAATCGAACCCACGATTTCTTTTAAATGGACCTAGTGCCTTACCCACCTAGCTATCCCGGCCTCTTTTGACCAAACTTCCCGAGTGCTAATATTTCCCTCTTATGAGTCTATTAAGATATATTAGTGAACATAACTCATTTTGGTTTATTTTCAAAAACCGAATGTATATTGTTACAACAAACTCGCAAACGTAGTTTTATGTTTACTTAACTAAATACAATTTGTGTGCATGCATCACAACATTATACACGAAGCTTATTAAGTTCTTAATCATTCACCGAATCTTTCATTTGAATCGAAAAATGATGATTTTAAAACGGTTCATGAGACGACACTGATTTAAGTAATTTCGTTTATAATGTTTTGCTATAGAAACTTTATAATAAAGAAACAACTCTTTATTTAGAAAACAATCTAACGCGTAATAGTGGGGAAAAAATATTACGCCTTAAAAAACATGAGCAAAAATGCGTCAAACCCATTCCAAAACAAATAGTCGAATTTGAAACCTCATTTATTCAAAATTTAAAAGGCATATTTTGAGTTGTCTTAAAAATAGGGCAGACTGGCAGTTGGTAGGAATCAAACCCATAGACCTCCGGATTGCTTTAACCATAATAATTGTGGCGCCCCAGTCCAGGGAGAGGTCACTTCAATAAAATTTCTAATATCTATTTGAAAAATAGGATCTTCATTCGCTCTATCATTTTTTAATATCATTTTATAATAATTCGTAGAACAGCCAAACCAATTTTCGGGTTGTTCAACTCCATAGCGATTGTCATTTTGATCCAGAAGACAAGTATTAAGAGTGGTGGAGAACTTTTTGATAGCATTTGCATCCCCGCATGGAGAGGAAGAACCTTCCACAGTTAGCCTGTGTATGTAAAAGGACCAATTTCACGTCAGCACCGTGGTTAGTACAAATCGGATGCAGATTCGTATCGACCAGTTATCTCTGGGATTCGAACCCGGTTCACCTGATTGGAGGGTGAACGCTCTCCTTAATGACATTTAAGGGTATGCGTCATTACAGCAGTTAGAGAATCCTCGATTGTTCTGTCGACTCTCACTCAAAGATTAAGTATTTTGCTCAAAAATGAGTTGATGCTGTTTTAATTTAGAATAAAAAGGGGTTTTCAAACGCGACTGTTATCTGTTCCTGAAATATTTTAATGCATTTTTACAGTGTACAGGAAAATAGATTTAAAATAGGTATGCAATTATTTCGGAGGAAAACAATACCTTTTAATATTTAATTATTTGATGCAAATGAGAGCCAAAAAAAAAATTATGAAAATTAATGTTGATCCTTTACCATGTAATGTTCGGGCCAATAAAAATACACCGCCAACAATGGAAATGGATAAAAATGTTGCTCTTTAGCCGTAGTATTGCTCGGATATAGTTTTAAAAATCATTGCTGATCTAAAAATATCCCCCATGGAGTACCTTTTGAGAACCACTGCTCTAGCTAGTCATAAAACCGTCGGCGTTTCGTCATTTTTATCTTAATATGTTGCATTTTTAGATTGAAAAATTTATAAGCTTGAAACTAATGGCGCTTAGAATTAATTTATGGATATAATTACGTTCTGATATAGATAGCATATTTGTCTAATGTTCAATTCAAATTATAATTTGTTTGAAAAATAAGCAAAATTAAAGTGGTTTTCTTAATGGCAGACTGCAGAAGAAATTAGTCCATTGAGCATGATATTTACATGTACAATCCCCGTCCAAATTATTACACGCATTATAAGATTCAATGTAAAATCTTAATTATTAGGTGATACCTATTGTTTTTACAAGACTAAAACCGGTTTTACACTTGTCCGTGTATCTCATTCTCATGCAAATAGGAAACATGCAAAATAAACACAAATAGGAAGTATTTAAAAAATCTACCGAATCCATTAGTGCATGTATGTTGAAATACAAGAGTATTGCTTATAAGCTCGTGCAAAACATGCCATTATTAAAAGAAACTACTGTGCGTTTAATAAATGGGTCTAATTATTACAATATACTAATATAATTCTATTTAAATTATCATACAGATTATTTATGAAAACGCTTCCAACCCTGTGCAACAGATATATCGTGCTCATAATTATTCTTTTTCACTTAATTCTTCATGTCTCCAAATTTTTCTTTCTAGATTTAGAAATTTTTTAATTTTATCAAATCTGTACAAAAGAGGATCATATAATGAACGTTTGTTAGTTATTGTAAAAACTATAAACTGAGGTTTGATAATTTAAGATATGTCTTTGAATTAAGAACTCCGTTTTCTGTCAATAACAATCAATATTTCGTCTTTTTTCTTCTCAACCATACCTACTTAATTTTTTATTTAATAATTCAGTAAATGTCATTTTAGAAAGTTTTCTGCTAAATATGTAACGTAGAAGATTCTTTGAAAATAAAATATTCATGTAAAATGTTCTTTTTTTTTGCGTGTGACAATTTTATCAAATTTTACAATGAAGTAACATGATGTCCATGTTACGGTTAAGTAATAAATCTGGCTATTATTAATAATGATTGGCGATTATTAAGAATAATCATATTTCTTGGGGGTGATGCACGCTAACCAGTTATTAATAATAATGCAGAATGTTCATTCGACATAATTTATTGAAACCATTTTTTAATATGATAATATCGCTTTAGATTAGATACTGATTTTTATTTATGTTTTAATAGTTCAATTTATCTCTCTTTTTTTTAATAGTGTTACGCATTTTAATAGTGATCCACAGACTCAATGAATAATATACAATTTGAAGCAGTTTATGGATGAATTTCAGTGCATTTACTACAGTAAAATATACTACAAAACAAAGCTCAGCATGATGTAACATTAAGATGGTCACAAAACTATGATAATTAACATATATTTTGCATTAAGGAAATTTATATAATTATTCGACATCAAAATTACTAGGAGTTTTTGAATAAATTATTAAACTGAACAAACTTCGTGGGTCAATATTAATAAACGATAGATCATTCACTTCAACTGCTGCTTTTATTAATAACTAATGCTTATTAATATTAAGCGATTCATTACATTGACCATTCATAAGCTGAACATTTTTGTGGAAATGAACGAAATGTTTCTAAATAGAGTCAATTTAATACTTCAATCCCCTGACTTTTCATAGTTAATCATGCCTTTTTAACCAAAAGTGAAAGAGTAAAAAAAATAATGTGAAGCTTGACAATGGCATCACAATGTAAAGAAAAGATGGAGAAAATAATATTTTTCTTTATATATCTTAAGTTTTTGAATTTGTTCTTTGCAAGAATTTTTTTACGCTCAAGATTATTAAAAATTTAATCGAGTATTCAGTACCGTCTTTACGCATGGGCACACCCGGGCACTCAGGGGGCCCTTGAGAATCTTACTTTTTATAAATTGTATTTTTGAAGAAAAAAACTAAGAATAAGCAAAATTGCCTTATATATTTTTTAATATATTCTATGGTAGAAAGTGTGCATTTTGTTTCTCTTTCTACAAATATTGATTGATTAACAACAATAATTTGAATAGTTTATCACCAGGGAAACTAAAAAAGGAAATCTATTTTTCGACCTTCCAATGAAGTTTTTATGTGGATTCAGTTTTTTGGGGAAATGTATTTAAATTTGTTCAAATTATTGCATATGTTAAAAATGCTTTATTTTATGTATGCGAAGTTTTTTTTTTGTTCGATTTTAAGCAGTATGACCTGTTATAAGGGCCGAAAACAATTCTGTGGTCGGGGGCCCTGCATGTTATTAAGACGGCCCTTGGAATTTAAAAAGAGAATTTAGTACCTTAACATAAGCATTCTCACTACAAATAAGTCAAATAAAAATTCTTTTACATTCTATGTTCCGACAGAAGAGGTAACACAACATAAAGGGAAATCGGCTGTTTAAAAAGCACATTGAATAGAGAGAACTCACCTTTTACATTTGTGAAAGCGGTGAACACAACAATAAACAAAGTAAGAGGAGGTAAAAAATAATGCATCATAAAATACATCGAGAATGACTGAAAGCGAAGAATGATTTTGAAAGAAACCTTCGCATGGCGTCAAAATTGAAATTAACCCGTGACGTCACAAGGCAGGTGAATGCATTCAATAATCACCGACGTTTTTTTTTTTTTTTTTTTTTTTTTTTTTTTTTTTTTTTTTTTTTTTTTNGTCTTTCTCTCTTTCACGCTTTCCTCATTTATTTATAACGATCCTATATTGGAATTCTTCTTTCTCTCCTGGAACCAGAGTATCGAGATCAAAAAGATTCCTGGAATATTTTAAGATAAATGAACATGACTAAAACCGGGAACGTCTTTTCCAGTGGTCGGCAGTAACGCGCAACTGTAATCTGATTGGCGCAAATCCTTCGCGGGCCCGTCAAAGTATGCACTGAGAATGCCTCTGTGGCGAGCGTTCCTAAGATCTACGTCTGATTCTCGGAAAAATCGGTGCGAAATCGGTCGAATGGTTCTTGAGAAATCGAATTTTAAATATCTAACTTATTTAAAATTGGATTTCGCAGGAACTATAAAGTACGTTGGTGTCTGTTTTTGTAACTTAAAACATCGTCTGCATAAATTAATGAGCGTATTTGCGGTCATCCCTCAAACCATAGAACGTAATCATTGGATCCGTTTTCCGCCTTTCGCACTGTACTTCATTTCTAGGGAGGATATAAAAAAATCATTGAACACTTAAATCCCAAATATTTGATAATTTCCTAGCATTTCTGAAATAACTGCCAAGAAAAGCATAGAGTTTGAAGATTTAAATAACAAAATCGTAAAAAGTGCTTTATAATAAAAAACTATTTTATAGAAACATGAATTAAAACTTCTTAATATGTCCTCATATTTAACCAAGTTAATTTTCCATTCAAAATAATTTTGAATATAGGTGAAAATTGAGTTTTCCAGTTAAGTTTGTCTTCTGAAAGTAGCGAAGTAAGGACTACATTTCGAAAGTAGTTTGTAGTCGATACATTGAAAAAAAGTAGTTGTAATTGACTACAATTGCAATAAAGTAGTTGTCATTATTGTTAATAACAAGGAAAATGTAGTTTCTTCGACCTCTGATCTTTACATATGGGCAGTGACCGGGGGTGAGATTCTTCCATCTAATATATATAATTCTCTTACGTGGCTCCCAAACTTTGGCTGTATTTCTTTTCCGCCGTTGGCAACGTTTGCTTTGTTTTGTTTCGACCAATGATCATCGCTAAAAATGTCACATGCCAAATCTAGCTGAGGTGGCTCAACATATAGCGCTTTTAAAAACGGAAACTGAAATAACCAGAGAGCATCAGCTGTGGCAATCTCATACTATTAAGCTAGGCAGAAATGAGTAGTCTTTGTCGATAGATCTCTATTTTAGTATTTTGTCGAAAGCGCTTTGTTTCACGTGAATTTATTTGACGATTTATTTGAATTACGAATTATACTATAGCACATTTCTACTAGGTATAACGAATTACATGTCATTTATTTGAATTCAAATTTATTTTAATGACTTAGTATTTACTAAAAAGATGTATTTTTTTTTTTTAAAAAGTCTTATATAGATTTGAATGATTGTTTTGAATTCTTAGAATTTTGCGCATTTGCAATGGATGTAAGTTAGCAGCGAGCGAAGCGAGCTTGGTTTGCGAAGCAAACCATTTAAGATTGCGGAGCAATTTTCAGGCGTTGGAGAGCGTTAGCGAGCAAGGGGCGCAGCCCACTAGTTTTATAAATTGTATTAAAAAAATTAAGATTAAACAATATTGACTTATATATTTTTTAAAAATAAATATATTCTGTTATATAAAGTGTGCATTTTCTTTCTATGAATAGTGATTTATTATCATGCAGACACCAATAATTTGAATAGTTTATCACCAGAAAAACTTTAAAAAAGGAAACCGACATTTATTGTTCCAATCAAGTATTCAATTCTCATTTACTGTCGAATTTTTTCTTAAACAACCTTCGCACATAAATTAATTTAATGTGATATGCGCTTGAAAGAAATTCCTTTAGATATTTTGTTAAGCTATATTTATTGAAAGGTTAGCATAAGTTGTTTTCCTGACGTAGGGTTTGAAGTTATTTTCGAAAGTAAATAAATATATGCAAAGTTTTTAAGCGATCTAACTATATTTTCTTTTGAATTCAAAGGTCCGAAACAACCTTGTAAGTTATTTTCTTTTCTCAGTAAAAACAACGCTTATTTCGATAGTTTAAAGACATTTTTATCTGGCGTAACATTTCTTTTACGCTTATTCTTGAAAAATTATTAAACAAAAGAATGTGTTATTTCAATATTCAGTGGGTTAATTCATTTCGTGTTATTTCAGTAAAATATAGATTAAGTATTTGATATAGTATTTTGTTGTCCTTGTATAAACCGCATTTGCGTCGATGAGTTCATTCGAAGGACGATTTTATAAGTCGAAATCTTTCAATTTTAACTTAAATAAAAACTCTAACAAATGATATGAACTTAGTCTAAATGAATCATCAACGTTGATTTTAATTTTTAAACCTTAGCTGTCTCTTTACTTTAAAATAATATTTAAATGATGGTAAGCATTAATTTATTTAATATGTATTACTACACTGACGTAAGGAATGAAGAGAAATTTGCAGACTGGGTCGATTATCTCTAGAGATCTACTGGAGTGATTTTAATGATCTGTACATACAAAGCAAAAAACCATTCAACAGACGCATGATCGTGCATAACACTCCTTGGTGTCGGAAGGTATGAAATTGCTGCAGGGCAATTGCCATAGGAAATGATAAACTGTCTTATTTCAAGCATGAAATCACGGTGTCTGTAAGAGGTATCAGTGATTTCACATTTTAATGTTACTAAGAAAAAATATTCTCATAGGTACTGTGGGAAAATAACCATGTAATTGCAAAAGGAACAATTTCTTATTGGAGGAAGAATCTTTTGAAATAAAACTATAGTTAATTGATGACTATATGAAGCATATTTAATTATTCAATTTAAGATAATTAGATTTTTTTGTTTGTCTATTCTGCAACCGCTGTTTCATAACTCCAACAAGTGATCAAGCGCGTCTATTACAATTGTTGAATGGTTATTTCTTTTGCATTGCCTCAATGTATGACCATTTTTTTTTATAACCATCGTTGAAAAGCCGACCCAATTTTTTGGGCTTACGACTACTGATGTTCAACTCCTTGAACTTCTGCATCAAGTCTTCGTGGAGGACTTTTTGATGGAACTAACCAGCATTTGCGTTACAAGGAGAGGAAGACATTGCCTCAACGTATCATTAAAATCGGCCCAGTAGTTCTGGAGATAATTAACCCAGTCAGATCTTCATTTCTTACGCCAGTGTATGTAAGAACTAATACTTATAAAATAATGCAGTAACAAAATAATAAGATGCAAAAAAGTTTGAATTTCAAAGTGGGAATGTCAACATTAAGTGTGCAAAAAGTTAAATCCCAGCATGTTTCTCGGAGTTGAAAGGTATTAATCAATTACGATAAATAATCTTTTTAGTAGAAAGAAAAAAACAGTGGCCATCCATTCTCTCATATAGGTAATGCTTGTCCATCTTGAGCCCTATCCTCCGTCTGTGGAGACGCCCCCCATGATGGTGGACGTGGATCAAGATTTGACCGTAGAAGACCTCATCACTTTGTATTGCCATGAGAATGTGAGGGCAGGAAAAGAGATTATCGTCTGGAATGGAAACGCACCCCTTCCAATGGAGAAGACGCTGCTGCAATTAAGAATACCCAATGGTCACACACTCAGAATTGGATTCAAAGGTTTGTCAGAATTTATTACCCTAAATGACCATTTAAAGCATAATACATAAATACCATTAACACATTTTGTTTTATCTCTATCTGAAAAGAGAGAGAAAAGAAAAATTCCTTTTTTACCTTACATTTCGTCTGATTGTTGTGCAAAAACTGATCCTATGTTATACGGCGACTGTCTGCAGGTCGCCACATTGTTTAGTATCATTATCTTTAAGTAAATATAGAATTATTATTAATATTTAATAATATTCTGCATATCCCATGAGTCATCGCAGATAAGAGAGTTCGCCTTCCAATGAGGTGAAACTGAATCCCGGCGATGGTTGGTAGATACGAATTCCTCATCCGGTTTGCACCGACCACAGTGCTGACGTGAAATATCCTCCGTGGTAGACGGATCATGGGTTAGAGTCCCCTTGCCGTCAGGCTAACTGTGTAAGGTTCTCGTGATCTTCCTCTCCTTGTAACGTGATCTTCCTCTCCTATAACGTGAATGCGGGTGAGTTCCATCAAAAAGTCCACGAAGGCAAATTTCTTCCAATATTTGATCCAGGAGTTTCCTTGTCTTCTGAATTGGATTGACAAGGGTACGGGGTTGAACATTAGTTAGTAGCAGTAAACCCTAAATTGGGTCGGTTATTCAACGACAGTTATAAAATAAAATAACATTCTGAAAATAATTTTATTTCAAGCTTAAAATTTATTTTACCTTTAGAAACGAATTTTTTACGAAAACTAATCCAAAGAAAAATTTTACATTATCAACGGATATGAATTATTTTTAGCATATTTTTTAGAAAAACTGTTAAAAATGCTACAACTGGTTAGTTTTCAAAATTTCTTAATTTTGCGCAATATCTTATTGTTGCCAAAATTTATTCATTATTCCATATTTTCCTTTTATATAATTTTTCTTTTCCTTTTTGAAGTTGAAAGTTACAAAAAAATGAATGCGTTACCTTAAAATTACCAAGGCTTTGACCTAAAAATAAGAATGCTAGAATTACAAATTATAATTCGGAAAACTCAAGAGTGGTCAGAGTGTTACAAACATAGATCATATTTTATTTCATTTTTTTAATGGGTGAAATAAAGAAATTATTCATTAAAATAGGACTAAACGCACTACTAGTGAAAATAGTTGCATTCAATTACTTATCTAACTTATTTTTTTCATAAATTTTAAAGAAAAAATATTGAAACTTAATAAAAACGAAATCGGTCAAATAGCTCTTGATAAATCAAACTTTAAATAAACCACTGTTATTAAAATCTTATATTTCAGAAACTATTCGACAGATTGCGCTCAAATTTCATTTTTAACTACTTAAAAGTGCATTCATTAAAATTATGTAAAAATGTGCCTCACAATTTAAAAACTTTTTAACCATTTTTAAATAAAATAATGAAAAATAATAACTATTAAAAATTATTATTATTTTTTCTGCATGGAAATATCTTTATGTAAACTAATCTTATAATTGTGTAGAAAAGTGTTTAGATTCTTTTGAAAAGTTTTTCGAAGTATGGCAAAATACGGAAAAATTTACATTAAGGGTTCCAAACTTTTGATCTCTTTGATTTGAAATACTTAAATAATTATTTTGAAACTTTAGAAGTGTTTAAGTAACGCCCATACTTATCAATAAAGTTCGAACTTTAAGAGGTTTGAGGGCCATAAATTAAGATCAGAAATGAATGTTTTTGAACACCCTATGCTAAAAAACACAGCGATGAGCTTGTAACTCTCGTCTATTACGTTGATTACCATATAAATTAACTGCACATAATTTCGTAAACTTTGCTAAAATTTTCATGGAGATGAGAATATTTTCATGAAAAACCATTATTCTTTTACTTATGCTTCCCTACTATAACTGCAGAAATATTCAATGAAATATACTAAAGTTTTTTGAGTAATATTTAATTAATGTAAAAATATCATTTTGAAATATTGAAAAAAAAAATCGTCAAAAATTGCACAAGTTATGGGTTTTTAAAATAATCCCTGCTCGGAAAATATTTAACATTTTTATCATGATTCTGCTTAAAATCGTATCTGGACAACAATAAAAAAATACGATTTATATATTTTAAAAATGTAAAAAGTTTGCATCAGATGTCTACGCTTTTGTACTTTTTTTTTTATTGAAAGCTCTAAATTATAAGGGGTTTTTCACAAATTTCATTTTGTATCAAAAAACAAAATTTCATAATAAAAATTAATATAATTAATGTAATTTCAGAATAATAATTAATTAATTACACCCTAAAATGATGGTCTGGACAACACGTGATGAAATTAGGAAATAAGACATTAATATAAAACATAATTTAATATGGTCTCTGGTCCTTTATAATAGCCATGTCATTTTGAATAAATCCTGTTTAATTTAACAAAATTAAAATTGTGGAAAACCCCTTTACCATTCGAAACTTTCTTTCCAAAATAATATGAACAAATTAAAAAATTGCTAGAAACTTTAAAAATTTTCAAGCCATTCAAATCGGAATTTTTAAAGTTATGAAAAATACTGTTCAAAACAAAATGAAAAAAAAATTTTTTAGTAAATGTTTTTCTTCCATGTGTTGTAAGAAAAAATTACTTTAAATACTCATATCTTGCGCAATTTTTAACAATATTTTTTTTCAAATTTTAGAATTACGCTTTTATTATTAACTGAAAATTTCCCTTAAAATTTTGTTTAATTTTATTGATTATTTCTGCAGTTATTGTAAGGAAACGTAAATAAAAAATAAAAAAAACGTTTTTAAAACGAAATTTTGTGCAGTTATTTCACATCATAATCAACTTAATTTACATCAGTTAGAAGCATTGTGTTGTATTTTATAGCAAAAACATTCTTTTCCGTTTGTAATTTATTGCCGGACCTCAAACTTCAGGAATTTTTAAACTTTATTCATATGTATGAGAAATCGTTTGACTTAAACAGTTCTAAAGTGTCAAAATATTTCTATAAGTAATTCTTTTCCTCTCCATAATTTTGTACAATCCCTGTATTTTGAGGGTCGGTCCAAATTCGTCGAAAAAAAGGTCTGATTATTCAACGAAAGAACGTTTTTAAGAGTGTGCGATTTTGTTACTTAAAATATTGTCTTCATTAATTAGTTGGCATATTTAGTGCTAGACCCACGGGCCATTAAGATTGAATACGAGAATGGGATAGCCTGGCTGGTAGGGCTCATGTCCAAGAGTTCGTGGGTTCGATCTCCGCCTGCCGAAGATTCCCTGTGTGGTGACTGATGCACGTTAAATCTGTCGAGTTACAAAGTCAAAATGATGTTTGAAATATCGGAAAAGATGTGAAATCACTCAGCGAGCGCAAGGTCTGGGCTGTAGGGAGGGGTGGTTCAAAACTTCCCAACCAAAAGAGTCCAATAAAACTGGAATCTGATCTGCGGAGAGAGAGAATCATTGTCATAGAGTAGCAAAATTCCCTTTCGGCTACATCAGGGAATTTTGCGACATCACAAATCTGCCATTGAATGTATGCAGCAGGCAGGGGACTAAAAACGCATCACTGGCGGTATCTCGTGCTTGACGGGTGATTTGTTAAATTTGAACATTTTAAAGACACAAAACTGACTGCACAGCTACAACTGAGCACAGTTGTTTCAAAGGAATGCTGCGACGAGGCACAAGCACTCGTCACCTATTAGTGTACAAAATAAAAAGGCTCTTCGTGTACAAAAACAACCCTCATATTAATATCTAGTACAGGCATCTTGCTTCCGCTCAATCAAAGTTGTACATAAAATCATTACTTTTATCCTTATTGTCTGTGTTCTTTCAATTAAGAGTAAAAGAAAGTACACGCTGCCTAACGTAGAAAATATTCGATTTTGCGAATAAATAAATAATAGTGGATATTAGTTTTTTCGAAACACACTCAGACACACACTATACAACATTTGAAGATGCAGTATTAAGTTTGAGAAATTTAGTGAAGGGAATGCAATAAGATCAGAATATTGTACACTATTGACAAAATTATGTCTAGTGTATGTATTTGCGTCTTGTGTGCTGGATATTGCTTGAATATTCACAAAATAACTTTCATAAAAATTTCCAATTACTGAAGTACGAGATTTGTGTTAGGTATTACCTGGGCAAACAGATATTTAGGACATTTCTTCTAGATTTTGGAATATCCAGCTCTGCAAGAAGGAGATAAAGATATTTTAAGGATGCTTGTGACATTATGGTTATTTTCAAAAGGAATCTAAACAAATGATATGTAGCAAAAACAAACTAAAGTTGCAACTTAGAATTCGCTGAACTGAAAGTGAATTATATTTTCTTTGAAAGCGCGATTTTATAATTATTATATTTTTTTTTGTTTAGATGAGAGTCAGAACTTAAATTTTAACTGCAGTGCTTATTGTTTTTTGATAGGCATTTGTAAAAACATGTTTTTATTCTTGCCTCTAGAGTCTTTTTTTTTTATTACTTCAAAGTTTTGCAACGCAGTGTGAGTGCTGCAGTCAAGTAAAATCTAACGCAAGATTGTTAAAAAAAACATAAAAAGAAAAGATATAAAAATACATATAAAGTCAGAAATGCAGCAGAAAACAACAAAGATATGTGTGTTAGCAGGAGACATCAGGGGACACACCTTTCTGTTGTCAGACCCAAAAACTGAAAGTGCCCCGAGGCCACATAATGGAAAAAACAAATAAGAAAAATCAATTAGAAAAATTGAAATGTAAATGCAAAGAAAAATTAGTGAAAACAATCTCGATTTAAAAGTACACATAGTAAGTCTTAATAATGACTTAAAAGCACACAGAGTAAGACTTAATAAAGAGACGCCCTCATATAGGAAACATAAATAAAGATAAAGTTACAGTTAGAATAACCACATCAAACTAAAATATAAATTGCCAAATCATGCAGAAAACTTTAAAAATAAATAAAAATTTTGAAAATTTTCAAAACTGAAACAAAAAAAAATTCAATTCGTATTATTTTTTAATCTAATTTATTTTCTTTCTTAATTAAAACAAAAACAAATTTGGATTGGACTGCTTTAAACGCTTTTCTATTTTGATTTTTTTTTAAAATGTTACCTATTTTGTCTTTTTCTGAATTTGTAAATTAATTTCATTCTTTGATTAGATTTATTATTGACTCGCCTCGCTTCAAATGACAAATTTTTTTTTTTTTTTGTTCCATACTTTTGCTACATCTAAAAATTAGTTTGGTCTTATTTTTTCAACTACATTTGGTGCTTCTTTTTAGAACTGAATGAAAATGTTTGTTTAGATGAAGAAGTTGAGCAAAGATCAGAGAAGAAGAAATGGATTCAAATGGCGATGGCTGTCGGAATAGTTAGTGTCATACTCATCGTCATTTTAGCATTGAGCATGTATTTCTTTTTCGAACACAAGAATAAACCGAAAAAAGAATCCTTCCTAGAAGAAACTGTAAGAATCTCTATTTTCTTATCACGTCTCTGTTTTTAGGGTAGATAGGTACTCTGTTTACGTTGAACTAGGGCTCATCAATGGGCTATTGGCGACGATCTGGGAATCATGCCATCGTAATATTTTGATCCTCTGCAGAAAGGATCGACCCTCAGCTTTGGTAAGCCGACGACCCGCGAGCAAAGTCGAGCACTTTACGGTAGAACAGTTTAACGAGGACCGATTCCGCGCACCCTCGGTCCCTACACTGGCTGATGGAAATTGTCACCCACCCGCTTACTGACCGTAACCAGTGACCATTCACTTCTGTGTTCTACTGAGAACCGTGTCTTTACGATCAGTTCACTGACCTGCTTTTAGGAAAATAAATAAACAAAATTCTCGGGATGATTCAACCATGGATCAACAACTGCTATCACTACAGAAGCATCCTTTCTTCCAGAGAACTTTGATTAAACGCTCGTTTTTCTCTCCATCCACTTGATTTTGGCCAGGATTATTTGAAAAAAGCAGATTCACATTTTTCCGATGTTTTAAATTGGCTCTGCTTTTTGCATCGCCAGTGCGGTTTTCAGGAGAACTCCTCCTGACATCAGTCTCGCATCGTAGCGGGTACCATGGTTACGAGTAAAAGTCACTTCGAATAGGGGGTGAATCGTGTAAGGGTCGTTTCACCGAATCCCTCTGATTCCCCCTTCGTATCGGCGTGGTAGTGATCTATTACCATACAATCGACCAATCCATAAACTATATTGGCAGTCTTTATCACTTCAGGGTGTGCGATGATAATCGCCAAATGAGGGAAGGCTTATGGAAAGGAATAGCTCTTTCGTAAAGAATGACCAGTATATTCGTTTGCAGTCGTCTGTTGCAGAAGTCAACTCAGGGGGGGGGGAGATGTGTGCTTTATTAATACACTTGTTGATAATTTGATTGAAATAAAAAAAGAAACTAAATCTGAAAACAGTTTTTTTTTAAAGTTTCTATCATATGCACAGTTATACCTTCTTTTTTTTCTTTCACTTGCCCCTGTTTGTTATTTCCTAAAAATAAAATTCTATTTTTAAAACGAATTCAAAAAAGGTTATATCCTAAAAACAAGATAATACGCTGATCAAGGGTAAATAACTTCAATTAAATATTATTTTTTATTTAATTTAATAATGATCGAAAAATTTCGAATTATTAGGTATACAATTTTTTGCATCAGTTTGAAGAATTTAATTTTACACGGCGAAATAAAAAAATTGTACAAAATCGGTCGACTAATTCCTAAGAAATCACATTTTAAATGCAATATATCCTTGATGACTTTCAGTTGAAGGGTCGCTAAAAAAATTCGAGAAAGCGAGTTTTTGAGTTAACAAGTTCAGAACTAAATATTTTCTAATGAGTAAAAAAAATATAGTTATTTTAAAATATTATTCTGAAAAGTAGAATCATGAAACATAAGAATAACTACTTTTAAATATGTATGTAATGATAGTTGATAAGTATAAATACAGCAATGATAATTTTATTTTTGAAAGTAAGACAGGAACAATTAGGCATTAAATAAAAAAGAATCGGTTTACAATGAACTTACATTGTGAATTTTCCAAAAAAATACATTTTCTATTTCGAAAAAAAACTCGATATAGTAAAGTTTTGAGAAGAAATCCTTCAGATATATAATTCCAAAGGGAAAAACATTTTTTTGACATAACAATGTTTTCTAGATATCTAAATTTGAAATATTGAGAGTATACTGAATCTGACTTTTTTGAAATTCATTCAGCTATTAATTTTTTGAAGTTATTAATCAGAATGTTTAACAATGCTTCGATAAAAACTTTTAAATTATTTAATTACTTTGAAAATTATTATTTTTGCTCTCAGTACTCAAACTTATAGTTTCTTTCTTTTCCACTCTGATTTGAATCAATGATTTTTTTAAACCGATTAAGTGACATAAATCTCAATTTTAATCGTTTGATTCAAAACGTTGACATGGCGACATTCTAAGCAATTTTTGATAGCAAAATATGAGCATAATAGGCAGAATAATGCCCAAGAAATAAAAAATGTGAGTTTTAAATATTTTTTTCATAAAAAATTCAGTTATATGATCTATAAAAAATAATTTTCCGGGATTACCTTATTTTACTTAAAACACTTGACACTTTACAATTCAATTTTTTCAATCATTATTAAATTGAACAAAAAAAATATTATTTTTGTATTTTAATTTAATTTTTAATAAAGGAGTTTTTCAAGGGCACGAAAAAACTTACTTATTTCTATAAAAATAACAAAAAGGACAAAATGTAAAAATAACACCAACGGCATTAAACTATCTAAAATAGTTGCTTTAACACTAAAAAATAAAAAATAGCAGTTTTGAGAAATTATTGAAATTACGTATGAAAATTATTCATAATTACATAGAAATTTGTATGCGTTTTTTATTTAATGTTTCCTGAAAATTGTGTTCCTGAAAATTTTGCTGCGTCTGATTTTAGATTAATTTTCATTTTAAAATATAAAATAAAGATTTACTGAACTTTTCCGTGAATTTTTGTTCAAGTGATTTCCCTTCGCTTATTCATGGTTGACGAACCCTTAAAAACATTATTTTCCAATGTCACTCGCTATTGAACTTCCGATGTTGGTAACAACTCCAGAAGGAAGTGTCTCAAATTCTCCTCATTTAATTAAAAATTTCTTTTCCAAAAATTAAGGCCCACCATCTTCTCTTTAAGAGAATAAAATTTCTTTACTGAGAAATCGAGCGACGAGAATCGACAATTGACAATAATGGATTTGCCATATATATTAAGACACATAATAATGTGCATACGTTGTTAGTAACTTACGAACGACTTTTCTCAAACAAGTTAACATAGACATCGATATCAGTCACTACAATAGCGATCTAGTTCTTGTTTCAATTTTCGATTTATGGAGCATGCGCAGCGAATCCTTATGAAAGAGGCACGATTTATCATTAATAATATTGGCGAGATTTTTGACTACATATTATCATGCCAAAGATAACCCCTTTAGTTCTTTTCGTTGTGAGGAAACATGCCCCAGGTGTTCTTTTCAAAAAATTGGGATGCCGGTATTTTCGATGAAACGACCCCAGAACCGGGGGGTGGGTTAATAGTTTTGATTTGATCTTGGTATGGGTCAGCGTGAGTGAACCAATCTCCATTGCAGCTCCTCCCTTGCCTATTACTTTTAGTCTGGAGAAGTTCTCCTCAAAGCCACACAATAATTGTGCTGTTGAAGTGCTTAATCGAAAATCTCAGTATTATTTATTTACTTTTTTGAATTGCGGAATTTTTACGAGTAAATGAAATATTAGTTTTATAAAAAATAAGTAACTTCAATACGATCCACTTCAAACAACGCACCCATTCATCAGTACTGAACAACAGACAAATACTGGTACAGATAATGAAGTGCCACCCGAGTGGTTAGCGTGCCTGACTGCGGAGCCATTGGCCGCGGGTTCGAATCCTGCTCAGGGCATGGATCTTTCTTTCTTTCTTTCTCTGTCCTTTCTCCTTTGTGTGACTGTGACCCGCCCTATAAACGGGTTTGTGGTTGCGTGACGTGGGCGACGCTGCTCCACCGCCACAGGTGCCCACTGGGTAATGAGAAGAGAGTAGCAGTTCTGGCATTCCTGTGGCTAATGGGACAAACCCCAAGTGCCCGCCATTAAAAAAAAAAAAAAAACAGTGAAGCTAAAATGATTCCAATGTTGTGTTTTTTTTTTATTTAATATTATTTGTTACTCGGTTGCTTTGCGTTATTTGATGAAGCAAAATCATATTTTTAACATTTCATCTCATGAAAATAAAGATGAACTGTATTCCGCATCATGTGACACAACGCTGTTGCTCAAGGCAACTCATGAAGTTTAAAATTTACTACAGCCGAACTACTTTCTCCCGTACTTATATCTTCGAGGGGTCATAAGAAATTTGTCATAAAAATGTACTGTACTGGTGAAAAAGTAATCGGCACCAAATTTACTCTAAAATGAGTTGTATCTATATAAGAGTATAATTGGTATCTATTAAAATTGCACCCATTACCGTGATGCCAGTAGTGCCGATTACCAAAATTAGACATCATTAGTGTTAATAATAGCATGGCTATTTTTTACGGTATCCCGTAACAAATAAGTACATTTTTCTATTCATTTTTTCTTTTTTGTTCATAGCTAAATTTTTACTTCAATTTGTAATTATTACTAAATTAAATAATCATTCACATCAATAATAATATCGGCGTTTTATTCCGTTTCTCTTCAACGAATTAACTCTATTTTTCCCTTAACTTCTTCATTTAGTTTAGAACTTACTTTTTTATTACCGTTAATTTAAAACTATTTAGTTTTATGAAAACACTTTTTAAAAGCATAACTATAAACAAATAAACAAGTGGTTTCAGATAACCTTAAAGATTAATTATCTGGCCAACAGGTCCGCTTATGCTACCACTATCACGTTGATAATTCAGATAATTTTTATTCATTATACCAGGTTAAATATTAGAGGAGCGCAATAGACAATTTGAATTAGAGCTATAAGCTAAAAAACACCACTGATGTTATTTTAAAAATATTTGACAAAACTGAGTCGCTTATAGTTCACATCAGGTAGCGGGTTCGAATCCCGCTGTAACCCTGGATGTATTCTTTGTGATGTCTTTCTCTGAATTGTTCCATCTGTATTTTCTACTTGACAATGACTTATAAGCCTATATTGAGCACACAAGTCAGCAAATGTATGTAATCTCAATAAAATAAATAAAATATAGTTCACATTAAAACAATTGCTTCCGCTAAGTCAATGAGAAAATTCCATTCCTTAAATGTCTCTAAATTTAAAAATCAGATCAAAAATCCGAAATCGGGCTTCGTAATAAATTTACAAATATACTCAGCTTCATATTCAATTTCGTATTCTTAGAATCTACCGTTTACGCCACAATACAGACGCACAAAGGTTTTAATATGTGTTATATATATTTACGGAGATTGTGTTTCTTTGTAACAATTTTTTTTACGAGGAATTAGGGAAATAGAATGAAAGTGTCTATATTTTCGTCTTCTCAAAAGGAAATTCCTTATTTTATTAAATCTCGAATAAATTCGGGTTTCTTGTAAAACATTTAAAAAGGCTTTCATATTGAATGGGTAAGGCTTGTTAAAATTGTAAAGCTTTAAAGAACTATTTATTTCATTTTTAAAATCATTTGTATCAGAATTACATTTAAAAAGACAATTTAAAAAATTATTCAATAACTTCGAGTTGATGTCTCAGGGGATAGAGCGTTCGCCATCCAATGAGGTGAACCGGGTTCGAATCCAGCGATGGTGGGTCGATACGAATCCGGCTCGAACAGACCACAATGCTGACATAAAATATCCTCATTTGTAGACGGATTGTGAGTCCTCTTACCGTCAGGCTAACCGTGGGAGGTTCTCGTGGTCTTCCTCTCCATGTAACGCAAATGCTGTTAGTTCCATCAAAAAAGTCCTCCGCGAATTTCCTTTAATACTGGATCCAGGAGTTCCCTTGTCTTTTGGATGGGGTTCAACATGGTAGCCGTAAACCCTAAATTGGGTCTATTCAACGAAGGTTATAAAAAAAAATAATAATAACAACTTCGTGCACTCCTGACCATTTTTCTGGATGAGCGGGATAAATCTAATAATTGAATTTCTTTTTCAGACTCTGTTCGGACGGAGTAAAAATCTTAGGTGTGACTCTCCCCAAAATGCATCTCGAAAAGTAAGAAGAATTTCTTTCACAATATTTAAGACATTTTAGGAATTGAATGCAAAACACAATGAAGGAGCTTTCGTTTGATAAAACCTCACAGAACCTACTTAAACCTAATTTCTAAAAGCTTTCTTTAAATTAATGATATTCAGTAATGATACTATTTTTATGTGAAGATAATAATCTTTTTTACCATACATTAGGAATAATATACCATGAATTAGAAATAATTTCCTTTTTTCAAAAATTGGATTCTGAAAAAAGTCATTGAATGCTCATGTGTCTGGTTATTTCTTTATTTGTCTGAGATGGTATCGTAACAGCATAAAATACAATTATGGCAATTTCTTTCTTTACAATGAAAAGATTTCATCTTAATATTACAACATCAGAACAACACAACAAAACTGTAAAACGGATCTAAAAAATAATTCCAAAAATTATTTATTATTTTGTGTTACACTTCTCGGTTGATTATTATATTAAACATCCCATAAAAATAAAGATGAACTGCGTCATCTGGCTATTGCTCGAGACAATGGTATTCAATATCGAGAAACTTTGGAAAATCTATCAAAAAAAATGTACAGTATGGGTACAATAGTAATCAACATCAAATTTACTTTTAAAATACTTTCTACATATATAAGAGTACATTTGGTTGAGTGTATTATTTTGATACGTTTATTTTTCATAATATATTAATGAGAATTGCCAAACGAAAAATGATTATCGTAAGTGTATTGGAACGAGCAATTTTCTTTAAATTTTATTATTGCTTCAAAAGTATCTCAATAATAGCGGCAAAAGTGCTTCATAAATATTTTTTTTTCTCATTACATTCTACTATTGTAAGCAATAAAAGCAACATCTGTGAAATTTAACGTCAACTGATTATAATAATTTTCACTAAGGTCACTTAGAACAAATGTAGCTCCATTTAACAGTTTTTTTTAAACCCATTGGCAAAATGGGTGTTGTTTTGGGTTTGATGACATGCGCACCCTATTTGGACGTCATCACACTTTTCAACTGTGTTCAAGAGTCATAGTAAACAGTGCGCATGCGTCGTCAATGCATGCGTTGCTATAGCAACCGTTGCTGTCTGATAATTTTTTTTAGAATTCTTGTTTATTATTATTTTTATTTTCCCCAAGTGCATTTTTAAGACTTTTCCAATATGTTAATTTTATGTATTTATGTTCTTTATGATGAAATCATTAATAATGGCCGGAGGTTAAATATTCAATAAATATTTGAAAATACATTATGATATGAAAAAAAAAATTCAGACTATCGGATGACAAGAGCACAGCCGTTGTGGTGGTTATAAAATAAAATAATACAATGGATGCAGATTTTGCAACTCATGACTTAAAATGATGTGGCGTTCATGAAAGTCTATTCATGTGTTCACGTATTTCTATATGAAAGGTTTGGAAGAGAGAAAAACATTTAACCAATGAGTAATCTGTGATCTCAATAATGAAGCCACAATTTTCTTTTACTTGTAAACAAAAACATAACTAATAGATTTTATTCTGTCCCAAATTGAGTTGTAACCAATTAACAAAGTAAAGAGAAATTAACTATCATATATACTTTCATAAGCCATAATAAATTCTCAAAGGGTTTATTTAAAGGTAGGTTGGTGGTTATAACAGTTCACATCCCCACTCCACTAGGGAGGGCGTGTGAACAAAACAACGGATGGTTCCGGCAGATCGTTTATGGAACACGTTATTCAGTAAGAGACATGCGAAAACCATCGGTCTCGCATTAAATACAAATAGAAATTGAGTAGAAAGGCTCAGTCTTGTAACCTTACGCATTAATGAAAATCATTTAATGCTTCCTAATATGGAAGTAAAAGAGGGACAAGATTCTAAAAATAACTCCTCCTTTGAAATATAAAACTAATTATTATTCAATGGTATGTATTCAGCCTTGAAGTCCCAAAATAGAATTTCTACATCTATTCTTTACCAAAGACATTTTATGAAAACGCAAGTGTTTTAATGTTGTTAGTAATACAAAAGTATTTATAATTTTTGTATTACATATATATATACAAACAAATTGGTGACGTATATGANTATATATATATATATATATATATATAAATTATAGTTTGGAGTGGTGGTAGATGACGGGGAGTTGAATACATGTGCAGTCCTGTATTCTTGGGATAAATCTCGAGGAAGTGCATCCTGTGTCAGGGAAGAACTGGAATGCTGCATCAAAAACAACAAAGGTAAGTCGATTTTCAAAAAAAAAAATTATTTTTTTGCAATACGTCATTTGAAAATCTGATCAGAAAATAAAATAAAAAGGAATCGCACTTTTCTCTCCTTTGTAAATATCTTTTCATTCAACGCAATAACTGTTATTGCACTACAGTCCCTGGCTTTTGCTTTCGATGTAAACAATAGAGTTTGAAATGGAAAGGGTACTTACCCCTTTCTTAGGTTCTTTTGACGCAAAAGGTTCTGTAAAAGATTTCTTAACAAAATAAACGATCTGGAAGAACATAGATATAGTAAGTAAATTACATAGATATACAAGTAAATTACAGATAAAAAGATATGCCACTGGATGACAACTGACATGCTGCCTTTTTTTTCTTAATTGTATAAAGACAAGAACTCCTAACGCGCATGCGTTAGGAGAGTTCCGTTTTTGGCGGTTGCATTTCCGACATTGCTCCCACCTTGCGTACTTGAAAAAAATATAAAGGAAAGTACGCAATCAAAGTCACATTAGTGTATAAAGTCACAGTTCAAGTCTCTGAACAGGTTTTACTACCCGGCCACATCCGTCTTCTTGTTCTTGACAGTTCGCATTCGAAATCTCCATTGATGCTGACTCTTCAATCAAGGAGAATCTCTCTTCACCTTCTACTTCCAATGGATGAAGTCTTTGGTATGGTCGAACAACTTCTCCATTCATAGTTTTTATTCGTGCAACACTAGAGTTTCTATCAACTCCAGGATAATGTTTCAATATTTTAGCCATAGGCCAGTCTAATCTTTTAGCATTGTCATTTCCTACAAGAACAACTTTAAGGGTGGTGGGGAGTTTGTTTTTTGAATGATTTTTCAATTGACCCAAGTACTCAATATGGAATCTTTTCATTATATCTTCTTTTAATTTCTGGCGAGAGTGGAAGCTTTTATTCAGATGTGCCGAATCATATACGTCTAGTTCAGGTAAACTTCCAAATCGGATTTCTTTCAGAAATAAAGATGGAATTAAAGGATGTAAGTCGTCGACATCTTCGGAAAGATAAGTTAGAGGTCGATTATTTATAATGCTCTCAGCTTCGCCCAAAATGGTATACAGTTCATCAAAATTTAGCCGAGCTCGTCCCAATACTCTTCGCAATATTCATTTGGTCATTCCAATAAGACGCTCCCTCCATCCGCCCCACCACGGGGCCGTAGGAGGGATGAACGTCCACTTAATTCTTTGTATTGAAGCTATTTCTTCGAGTTTTTGCCAGTCGATGGATTGGAAAACATTATAAGCTGCTATAAAGTTTTTGCCGTTGTCAGAGTAGAGAGGAGAGGGTCTTCCTCTTCTGGAAACGAACCTTCGGAAAGCTAGTAAGAAGGTTTCAGTGCTCAGTAATGGAACAAGTTCAATGTGTACTGCTCTGATTATTACACACGTAAATAAGACAAACCAGATTTTTTCTCCATTACTTAAATACAATGGTCCTCCTAAATCTATACCCGTTATTTCAAAAGCAGCAGCGCTTTTCACTCGTTTCTCAGGTAAAGGAGCTGGCAATACCTCTGCATTCTGGACTTTAAATCGTTGGCAATTTATACATCCCCTAATGACTCGACGAATAGTTCCTGTACATTTTATTATCCAGAATTTTTCTCTTAATAGAGTCATTAAGATTTGAACTCCAGCATGACTCAACTTCTTACGATGATGTTCAAGTATCAGCAAATCAACAACAGGATGCTTACCGGAAGCACAATGGGTCGTTTAAAATCATCGGTGTCTTCTCGTTGAGTCTAACGGGTGGTCACTCGAATTACACCAGATTCATCCAATTGTGGTCGTAATGATTTCAAAATAGGATTCGAAACGGCTCTAAAAGCTTCTAATTGTTCAATAAAATTACTTCACCTCTCTCTATTCCTTCAACGGCGAGTGCACCTTTCTATCCTCGGCTTCCTAACATTAAAAAGGAAACGCATCACCCAAGAGATTGTTCTTACAAACTTAGGGTATGAAGAAAACTTGTTTTGATACCATGGTATCTTCTCTGTATTTACAATAGCAGTTTTCTTCTTCTCTTGACTTAAAATTTCCTCGTCCATCTCAATTTGAACTAATTTAGGCCATATTTTCTTCGGATACTTTAGCCATTCTGGGCCCTGTAACCATCTTGATTCAATTAGTTGTTTGATGGTATTACAACGAGACGGTATATCTGCAGGATTATATTTTCCAGGTATGTGATGCCAATCTTTAGGATGGGATACAGTTCGAATTTCATATACTCGATTGGCGACAAAAGTAGCCCAATAATCTTCTCTTTTTTTCCACCCAAGAGCATTTGTGGAATCAGTCCAATAGTATGTTTCAATATCTGGTTCTATTCTGTCTTTTTTAACATTCTCAGCTAGGCGAGCAGCAATTAAACACGCTAAAAGCTCAAGTCTTGGGATCGTTATTGCCTTCAATGGTGATACTCTGTTCTCAGCTCTGACTAATTCGCAGGACACGGATTCTTTGGTTTCTAGTCGAATAAAAATACAAACAGCATAGGCATATTGACCGGCATCAGCAAACACATGCAGGCTACAGTGTTTCAAGGGGAAAAGTTGTTTTCATCAACCATCTAGAAATAAAAATGTCTTTCAAAAGTACAATTTGATTTTGCCAATTCAGAAATTTCTTTGCGATATCTGCAGGTAGTTCTTTATCCCGTGGAATCTTTTGTTTCCAGCAATCTTGGAGAAGTGATTTTGGCAACAATGTAAAAGGACAAACCATGCCTAGAGGATCATAAATTTGTTGAGCAACAGCCAGAATTTTCCTTTTTGTTACTGGAAAAGGATCTTTAGTTACGTTATAATTTGAATTGCAGTACAATACATCTTTTGATAAATCCCAGGAAAGTCGAAATTAGTTTTCCTTTGTCCAGCTTCTCTGTCTCTTCAGTGATTATAGTTGGAAAAGGGTCATTCTCTAAGATAGTATAATTTCTTCGCCATCCTTTCAAATCAAATTTTCCAGACAATAATAATTCTTTCGATTGTTCCACAAAAGTTTCCCTGTCTTCAATCGTGTCGAAAATGGCGAGACAATTATCAACATAAAAAGTGTCCCGTAACAATAAAGCAGTGTCCTTCAAGAGGTTGAATTCTTCGTTCGTGCTGAAGCATCGAAAACGGGTCTTTTTTTTGTCGTTGATGAATTTTTACTTACAGCTCTGTGGAGAAGAAAATGTCCAGGTAGAACCTCATTATCCGTATTCACTTCTTCAATAATTCCTTCATTCAACCAGGCCAACAAGACGTCTTGATAAGCATCCAGGAGTTTTCCTTATGTCACCGCATATCTTTTCTTGTTCTAATACTTCGAAATTACAATTGTAAGCTTCATCCAAACTAGTTAAATATACTCTAAAACAGCGATGCGTTTGCTGCGGAGATTCAAGGCCACCGAATAAGCTATGTATTATAGGAACTTCTCCTAAACTCTCATAGTTCATCAATTTTACAGTCTTTGCACTAATATAGGAATGCTGGCTACCTGTATCAATCAGGGCCCGTATAAGATGTCTAGTATTTTTAGCTCTAAGATATACCTGTAAAGTTTGTAACAATACACTATTTTTATTCGACTGAATTGTAAGTGTTTGATCTTTCGAATATTCATCAGGTTTAGGGGTATCTGCTATTTCGGATTCATTGGACAAATTTGGACAATGAAATTTACAGCAACAGAAACACTTTATTTCACAATAACACTCTTTAGAAGCATGACCCTTTTTTAAACATTTGAAACCAGCAACCAGATTTCTTAACTAGCTCTCGTCTTTCATCTAAACTCATATTTTTTGCTTTATTGCAATCTGAAGAATAATGTTTTTTAGCACAAAAAATACACTCTCTTTCAAAATTATCATTTGCATTTAACAGTCCTGAAGCAGTAGGAATATCATATTTGTTTTCATTAAAATTACGCTTATAATATTTCTTATGTGTTTCTCTATCATAATCAAATGTATTTTCAGCAATGGCTAATCTTTGTTCTCCTTCTACTTCTGATTTCAAAAATTCCAAGAGAAGAGTTAATTTATTTATTTCCCCCTCTTCCTTATTTTTTTTTTTTTTTTTACTAAAAGAGAACTAATATGGCGATCCCATATTTTCAAAATATCATCTGACAAACAGCTTTCTACCAGTGGGTACGCTTCGATTTTATCATAAAGTTTAACCAAATTGCATTTATTATGATTTACAACTAAACTCAGCAATTCTCTTACGTATACTTCAATAAGAAGTTTATCTTTCACAAAACGCGCTTTTAAGCCTTCGATTACAAGAGGATAATTCGAAGCGGTAGGGAGAAAACTTTCCACAAGGTCACGAGCACGTGATTTTTCCGCAGTGCTCTGAATTAAATAAACAAATTTGTCTTCTGCCGATAAATCTGGGTCATCATTAATTTTTTTAAACTAACTCCAAAATCCAATCCACCCTTTAATTGAACCATCATACTTGGGCAATCATCATACTTTCATCTAAGAGTCTTTTTATTTACCGATTCAAAAAAGGAATCATTATTCTTTATAAGCGGTTACTGACTAAGCGATTTACTTAAACGCTCCACTTTCGTTTTGAGCATAACGTATTTGTCTGCGTACGAAGCTATTTTTTCATATTCAGAATCATTTTGAGATATTTGTGTATCTTTTGAGAGAATGTTTATCATTTGGTTATCGGCCACTTCTAATTTTCGGAATTTATCACTTAAAAGTGACATCAAAATATCTAATTCATCGTAATTAATGGGTTTCGTATTCAACGCTACCTCTATTTCGTTTATTAATAGTTTCGATTATTTTAAATCTTATACAGTTTTAGTGACCCGGCGTCCCTGTTCTGGGTGCCAATAATTTTGCTTTCGATGTAAACAATAGAGTTTGAAATGATATGTAAAGGGTACTTACCCCTTTCCTAGGTTCTTTTGACGCAAAAGGTTCTGTAAGAGATTTCTTAACAA